AATTTTATCAAGTATGCATAATTTTATCAAGTATGCATAATTTTATCAAGTATGCATAATTTTATCAAGTATGCATAATTTTATCAAGTATGCATAATTTTATCAAGTATGCATAATTTTATCAAGTATGCATAATTTTATCAAGTATGCATAATTTTATCAAGTATGCATAATTTTATCAAGTATGCATAATTTTATCAAGTATGCATAATTTTATCAAGTATGCATAATTTTATCAAGTATGCATAATTTTATCAAGTATGCATAATTTTATCAAGTATGCATAATTTTATCAAGTATGCATAATTTTATCAAGTATGCATAATTTTATCAAGTATGCATAATTTCCCCCAAAGTGATCGGCATCAAAGGAATTAAATTGCTATCTAAACACACTCAAGGTCGCCGGCTGCCTGTGGAGAGAGAAAAATGTGTACTTGATTTACAAATTACTGTCAACACTAGTGTTAAATAAAGAATATCCTAAAAAACGGAAAAGTTGGCGACTTATATCCTTACCTTTTACTTGCAAAGTGCTGAAAGCCTCCGGACTTCCGAGACCTGTGTTAGCTGAACAGATGTACGACCCAATATGTGACCTTTGTACCCTGTTGATTCGAAGCAAACCATCTTTTACAGTAGCATCAGACAGAGAACCTCCAAGCTTACGCCACGTGATCCTGAACATAGTCTGCCCTTGGGCCCAACAGAAAAAAATTGCTGTCTCGTTCACAAAGACTGCCTGAGATATAGGATGCACACTGATCTTCAGTGGAACGACGCATTCTCCTTTTGGTCCCTGAATGCCAACCAAACCTCGGCTGCCTTTGGTCCCTTTTGAGCCAATAGATCCTTTCTGTCCTTGATGACCCTTCGGTCCAGTCTCACCTTTCATCCCGATCGCTCCAACGGACCCTGTATCGCCTTTTTCACCCTTTACTCCTTGAGGTCCCACAGGTCCTCTTTTGCCATTCACGCCTGGAACCCCGATAGGCCCCGATGGGCGTGGTGGTCTTTCCTCTCCGGGGGCCCCTTTCTCTCCTTTATATCCAGGATACCCAAGGGCTCCTGGCGGCCCCGGAGGTCCTGCCTGGCATATACTGTCAGAGGATTTACAAACTTCATTGAACTTGTTATTTATTTCTTGGCGGATTTGTTGTAAAGTTAGTGTTCCTGCAGTTGAACTCGGAGCAATATTTCTTTTCTCTCTTTTGTAATGATCCATTGGATGTTTTCTTATTACACCTTCAAAATCTGTTTATCAAATAGACGGTTAAAAAAATGCCAATGGTTTAAAATAGTAAAAAACAAAATAAAACAAAAAACAAAAAACATATTTATCCATGCTGGAGCTTATCATATTTTGTCAAAACAATTTAATTCTGCATTGGAAATAATCGTCTTTCAGATGTGAACAGCCCATTTGGTGAGTCAAGAGCAGATCTCTCAGAAAGGTTA